CCTCTGGGGGTGGAGGCAGGACGGTGCAGACAGGGCAGATGTCTCTGAATGCAGATGACAGGGTCTGCCCACCTGGAACTGCCACTGGAACCTGCAGAGGAGGAGAGAGGAAGTCCCCAGTGCTCACAGGACCCTCCATCCATCACAGAATGACACCATGAGGGCCAGGGGAAACAGAGGCCCAGGGCCCCGTCTGTCCCACACCCCGCTGTCAGGATGGGCCAGGGCAGGCGCTCTCCCTTGAGCCCCATGTGCCCGCATGCTTCCTTGGAGACCGGCAGGAGCGGTTTTGCCGCATGCAGGCCCTTTTCCAGCCCCAGCCACCTGACCCCAGGTTGGGGTGCACACCTGCCGCCCCCAGAATCACTCCTTTCATCCTCTGGGATGCTGAGTTCCTAGAAGTTGTTCAGCCACCACCCTCTGTCTTTGGCAGCTCTGGCCACGTGGGCTTTCTTGCTTGGGTTGCTTTGATCTTCGGCACACCTGGGAATCAGTGCCCCCCCTCACACAACTGTCATCAGAGCAGATCCCACATGCTCATGGACTTCCCCAGCCAGAGGGGCGCTCCCCAGGGTGGGAGGGGCTGGAGCCACACAACTGCCAGAGTCCACACTCCACCCGTGACTCAGGAGGCCCCACAGCCAGATCCCAGCACGCTCTAGCCTCTGCACCCCATTGCACAGGACACCATTTTGGGGGGGCTCCCAAGTGCTTTCTCTGGGGAGACTGTGCAACCAGCTTCTCTAGTTGCTGCCGATCACAGAGGCCTGTGCACATGCCTGCCTGGCACCCCACAGTTGCCTGGCACCATAGTTTTAGGGGCTTTAGCTTTCATCATGTCCACAAGGCTGGTGGATATTATCAGCTCTGCTTTCATGCCAGTAGGGGGCGTGGTTAGCACTGGGGTCAGTTCCAGAGCCTCCACTCACTGGCTGGATGGCTCAAGTGGAGCATGGGATCCCCTGAATCCATCCTCTTACCCATAAAAAAGAAACAAACCAGTTGCCACCGAGTCCATTCCAACTCGTGGTGACGCCACGTGTGCAGACTAGAACTGCTCCATAGGGTTTTCAAACCTGCGACCTCTTGGAAGCAGATCACCAGGCCTTTGTTCTGAGGTGGGTTTGAACTGCCAACCTTCCGATTAGTAGCCCAGTGCTTAACCATCTGCACCACCCAGGGACTCTCCCTTATCCATTAAATGGGGCTGTTATGACCTGTGTCTTGGGGCTTTGTGAGAAGAAGACGAGAGGCTGCCACTTCACAGGCTGGCGGGCCCCTGGACTTCGAGGAGGCCTCAGCTGTGTTGTTGAGAGACCTACCATCAGTTCAGAATCCCTCAAGCACTTCCGGGCACTGAGACATTTGCGTCCAATAGAAAAGGCCCAGAGCCAGGGAGGGTGGTTGTGGTGGGTACCTGGCTCCAGTCCCACCCCCACCTCTGCCCTCTGTGGCCCCCTGGGCAGACCCCACAGCTCTGGACCTGACTTCTGACTCTGGAAACAGTGGGCTGGGCTATGGCAGGGTTGTCCGATAGCACCTAGGGCCTGGGGTTCCCTAAATCCTTCTTTGGGATCTGAAGGAGTTAAAGGGGGAGTAGGCAAGGCCTGCCCTCTCCTCCACGTTGGCAAGAGCACCTGTTTTCGGTGTTCGGTGTCTACTGTTTCTTAAAGGGTTTCAAGGACTTAAAGAGCCTGGGGTCCCAGGACTAGAAGATTTCTGAGATCTCTTCTAGTCCAAAGTCTGCCCTCCTGACTTGTGGCAGCTGAGCACCTGGAGACAAGCTAGGGGCCCAGGGCAGGGCCCCTGGGCCAAATGAGGAAGCTGAAGGAAGGTGCTCTGGGGAAAGTCCCATAGCTGGGGTAGAGGTGTGCTGGCAGGGGGTAGATGAGCACCATCCAGCACAGAGGCTTGAGGAAGGTGTAAGCAGGAAACAGCCATAGTGAGGATGCTCCCGGCAAAGCCAGTGTGCAGGGATGTTGAGGGCTGTCCAGACCCAGCTCAGCTGCCTGCCAGAACCCAGTTCCAGGCGACAGCGGCAGCAGCTGGGCAGGCGTCTGCCCCTTGGGGCGCTCCCCCAAACACTTAAGAAACAAATGAATAAGAAGGTCCCCCTGCCCTTCTGAATGGCAGAGCAGCCTCTCCCTCCCTCAAGGGTGACGGTGGGGGTGTGGAGTAAGAACGCCTGCCTCCTGGGGCAGTGCTGGCGGTGGGCGGGGGGTGGGGGGAGGGCGGTGGTAAAGGCAGGTGATCCCCTGCCTGCACATGGCAGGGACCCAGGAGACCGGGCACTGCCGCCGCATTGTCAGCCCCGCACACCATCCTGGCGATCAGCTGCCCTTCACAGGAGATGGGACAAAGGCAGCCAAGGCAGAGAGTAGGTCCCTGGGCAATGGAGGGGGGCCTCAGGGGCAACGAGGAGCCAGGAGGCCAACGAGGTTCCAACTGCAGGGTTCCATTTACCAGGAACTCATGAACGGGCAGACTCATCTATGGTGATAGAGGGGAGAGGAATGGCTCCTTTGAAGGTTGTGAATGGGTGCTGGGAACCCAGAGACCACCAGGCACATGTGTCATTGAGCTCTTAGAATGCAGCTGGTGAGGAAATGAATGTTAAAGTAAATTAACTTCTGATTAATTAAAACTTCAATGGCTGTGTATGGCTAGTATACACCATCCTGGACAGCAGTGCGGCTCTCTCTTGATCTGGCTAACAATGGGGAGTGACATGTACAGTGTAGGGGGCTGCGAGGTGACGATCACCAGGTGTGCTATTTACAAATGCTGGAGGTAAGGTCGTTAGTTCAGAGAACTGTCTCCTGCTTTAGCTTTGAACAAACCAAAATGGGGGTCCTTCTCCTTGGGCTTCTCCGCAGTGCCCCAGGACTGCCTGGGTGCTGAGAGCATTTGAGTGGCTGCAGGACCTTAGGGACAGAGGGAGGCCCTGAGATTGGGCGGGTCCCCTGAGATGGCCCTGCACCCCGGGGGAAGTTGGTGCCGCATTGCAAACCCCAGTCCGCCACTCCTGCAGGCCCAGAGTGTCCCTAATCTGGGGACGAGGGGGCAGTGGTGGTGGCAGCCTGCCCATCTGCTCTCTGCAAGAGGGCAGCCCATTGTATGTAGACCCAAAGGGGACTCTCTCTACATACGGGGGGGGATCAGGACAGACGGATGAGCAGGCCAGAGTGCCCTGTGGAGTACATCCCCAAATCTGTGTCCATGGAGGCCTCTGGCCACTTGGGCAGATGCTGCCAGAGACTTCATGCCTTGGGGCTAGACGCCCAAGGCGTTGGGTGGGCACTGGCTCCAGAGGGCCAGCATGCAAGGGGGTTTCCAGTTCCCCCTAAGCAGCCCTGGCCACTCCCTCCCTTCTTAGACCAATCTCATGGGACTTGCTAAGCCCCCTGGTCACTTCATGCCACCAGGGCAAACCAGGCCAGGAAGAACATGTCCCCCCAGGGCTGTCCTTGGGGAAACGCCTGCTCAATCACAGAGGGGGCACCGAGGCTGCCACAGCGACACGCTTCCTCAGTAGAGTGATGAGCAGGGCTGGAGGGCAGCGACTGACAAACCTATGGGGACAGGCAGGAGGGCGGGTTCAGAGACATGTCCACTTGCATTTCCCATCATCTCATGTCCAAGTGTGCAGCCTTGATGCTGGATGGCTGTCAGCTTTTCCTGCTTATGCTCAGGAAGGGAGGGATCAAAGGCTTCCTCTGGCCCCATCCCTGGTGTTGAGTTATCCGGGAGAGGTCCCTCGGCCACCTGGCTGGGGAAAATGCTTCACAGACAGGTTTCAGAATGACTCATGATCACTGTGATTGTGTCCCCTGCCCAGGTCACTCCGCGGGGATGCTCGCAGCGAATAAAGTCAATAAACAGGGGAAGCCGTAGGTGGGGCTGGGGCCAAGCCGGGGGCGATCCTGGGAGAGCAGAGCCTCCGGTGTCTGTGCACTTTCGGGCGAATCAGGGCTTCTCCTCCTCCCTGCGGCAGGGTCGGGCCAGACGCATCCCGCACTTAACCCACACCTCACAGGGTCACGACTGGCGGTTATTCCGGCTTCCGTGCAAAAAGCACGTTGGACTTGCATTGGTGCTGAAAACCAGCCCCGGCCCCGCGCCCAAGTCTGAGAAGAGAGCAGGATCACTGCAGGTGGGAAGAATTTCAGGAAAAAGTCGAGGACGTACAGCAAGGACTGGGGGCCCGCGCCCACGCCTGATGGAGGCCAGGATGAAGCCATAAAGTGGGAAGTGTGTTGGGGGAGTGCGCGAGCCCAGAGGACTCCGGGTGGTGGTGGGGAGAGGCGGAGCGGGGGAGGGGGGCCTGGAGGGCAGGGAGAAGTGCGGGGAAGGAGAGGGGGCGGGGAGGAAGCGCGGTAAGGGGACTGATAGGACCCGTGTTCCGCCGAGGACCTGATCTGTGGACTGCGGGGATTGTGGCTAGGGAGACCCCGAAGTCCTCGTCGAGTCGCCCAAGATTCTCTCCCCTAGACCTCCGCGCGATCCAACTGTTAGCAAATAAATGGACACGTAGACAGCTTCCAAAAGAGGCGAAACCGTTTATCAAGTCGGCGCCGGCGCGGTATCTACAGTATCTACACATATCTACATGTATCTACACCGCCTGCAGACGAGGCAATCGGGTCGTCTACACTGCGACTACCGGCCGGGCCGGGGGCGACCTGGTCTCGGAGAGAACAATAAATATCACTTCCTTCCGCCTCTGACCGGGCGCTTTGGCACTGGTGGGCGGAGATCCCGTGGCCCTCGGGGCTGGGGAGGATTCCGCGGGGGCTCCCGGGACTGGGAGACCGGAGACTTCGGTAGCCCTGGGGGCTTGAGTGGCTGGGAAATGGGAGACCCGCGGTGTCTCCCGGGGCTGAGGGAACACGTTCTTTAATGGCCTTGGGCGCTTCTGGACGGGACCCCCGACGACCCTGGGGCTGTGGAGGGGCACTTGCGAGGGACCTCGGGTCGGGAGGGACGAGCTGGCGGCCTCATTATCTGGGGCAGTAGTCGTAGGAGCCTGGAGGCGCGGCCCCTGCTGACGAGTACATGTTGGCGGCGGCGGCCGCGGCGGCCGCAGCAGCGGCGGCGGCGGCTGCCTGGCTCACCGCGGAGTGGTGGTGAGGGTGCGCGTGCGGGTGCGCGTGCGGGTGGTATCCGTGGCCGCGCAAGCCGGGCAGCGGGTAGGGCGCCGGTCGGCTCTTGGCCCCGAGGTAGTGGTCGTAGGCAGCGGCCGGGTACTTGTAGGGGTGGTGGTGTAGCGGCTCCGACGCGCCGGGCGCCTCCAGGCGCAGCTCTGGGTGCGGGGGGCTGGGCCGGCTCCCGGGCAGCGGGACGAGGGCGCCGGCGCCTCCGGCCCCAGGTAGCGCGGGGCTCAGTACCCGCGCCAGCAGCTGTGGCGGGTGCGTCGGGTCCCCAAGCACGGCCGGCCCGCCTGCGTCGCGCTCGAATTCTCGCCGGGCCTCGGCCGCGTCTGCAGGAGGGCCAAGGGGTGAGCGCGGCCGGCCAGGGCCGCCAATGGGACCAGGCAGGCCGCGCGATGCCCCGGCGGGGAGGAGGCGCGGGGCTGCGATCTGGCGCTCCCTGCGCGTTCTCTCCGAAACTCCAAATGCCCAAACGCGGGCGGGTAGCGGCGGGCGGGGCAGGCGGGCGGGACGCAGCCGTCGGCCGGGCGGGCGAGTGAGCGCTTG